TGTGGCTGCTCCTGGTCTCACCAAGATTCCTTCCCTCTGCAGGCTTCTCAGTGTGGCCTTTGCACTCCTCCTGGCCACTGTGGTGGCTCTGGAGACCTCCCTGCGAGTTCTCTGCCTGCCTGTCTGTCTATCAGTGGCACACAAAGTACTGTGTGTCTTGCTGCGGGGCTGGTATTTGCTTTGGTGACTGTTCCTTCCAGGTTACCTGCTCACTGTAGACAGCCCTCAGCTGCCTTGATCAGGGAGTACCTGTCCTGGGCCACTTTGCTCAAAGCAAATGACCTTGTGGGAGACTCCCGGGCTTATTCGGATCATGTGCTGCATGGCCCCCGGCCCTGGGGGCTCCTGGTCCAGATGGACCTCAGAGTTTGCTACTCCTTTTCTGAGCTGCGGGTCTCCCCTGTCTGCCATCCCTTCAAACACCTCTCATTCTGTAACCACACCAGCCGTGATGTTACAGGACCAGAGCATCAGCCCGGCAGCTGTGATCCTGCCCAGTGGTGCTCACGTGTTGACGGGGTCCACAGACATCCCGGCTTCCTGGATGGCACGACGAGTGGCTGCCGCTTCTGCCATGCTGCGGTTGGTGGGAGCTCCTGTGTGTTTTTTCTGTGGCTGTTTTCCTGCTACACTGGCAGAGACGGTGGCTGTGGTTTGCAGGGTGCCTTGGTGGTCCCCGTGTCCGAGGTCCTTGCCTCTTTGCAGGCAGCAGGTGGGTGCCAGTGCGGCCCCACATTGTGTTCCTGTATGCTCTGGGAGGGAGGCACTGTGGAAATGTCTCCACGTCTGATTTCCCCGTGCAGGTAGTGGCCCCTTCGCTAAGGGAGCAGGAGAAATTCTCACAATGCCTTCTTTTGGGCAGTTTTTATCGGGGAGGAGGAGACCTTTCTTCTTATGAAAATCCTATAGAAAGGCTGGTAAATCAGAAGTGTCTGCCCACGCCCAGTTCCACGTGTCCAGAAGTGGCTGCCCCGTGGAACTCACATTCCCAGCTCCCCTCTGTCCAGCTGGGGCCATGGGACTGGTTGTCACCAAGGAATGCGGCTGGCAGTGGCCCCTGAAGCTGCTGTTACCCCCTCCTCGTTTCCACCCCCGGCTCTGGGTTGGGCTCCCCCACCTCTGTGGGGTTCACCACCCCTGTGGGGTAGTAGCTGTGGTCTTGCACCACTAGAAGCTCCAGAGAGTGCCAGGGCCCTGGGGGCTGGGCCTCTCATTCAGACTCTGGGGGCGGAGAGAGAAATCCAGAAGCCTGTGGCCCTGGTCTCCGCAGAAGGCCAGGACTGCTTAGTACAGTTGTCCTCACCCACTCATCTCAGAATGCACCCCACTCCAATGAGCCATCCCGGAGCTCTGTACCCAGAGGACCCAGAGTGGGAGCAAAAGTTCTGTAGTGTCTGGAGGGATGGATGGGAATACTCAGAGTGCTGGGATGTTTTGTGAGTCTGGACCAACTCCCCATGAGGAATGCGGATACCATGTGCAGATAGAAATATGAAAGAAAGGCTCTAAAAGATTTATTATAGTAAAAGGCACACGGTCATTAATCCCCTTGAAGTGCTCCAGATCTTCCCCTCACTGGGGACACTTATGCCACCATTCTCGGCAGTGTGTCTTACTGGAATAAGGTTCCTTTTTTTTTTTTTTTTTTTTTTTTTACTGTAATGCTCTCCATAGTTGCAATCGTGCCGTGTCCTACACCAGGCTGCGCCCTCATGCACCCCATCAGCTCCTGGACCCCAGCAGCGGTGGGGAGCACCATCTTGGCTTTTTGTCTGCTGCCTTGGGTGAGCAGCGGAGGTTGGCAGTGACCTGCAGTGACTTGTCCCTCCCAGGGAGCCCAGTGAGACACAGGCTCTGAGCATCCTCTTGGACTGAGAGCCAGGCCTAGGAGTGAAGCAGAGTTGCTCTGGGGCCCCCAAGGAGCAGCAGGTCCTGTGGATCAAGCTGGCTGGACAGGGATGTCTGAAAGTTTTGCTTGCAAGGGCTGCTGGACATGAGCCACAGGAGCAGGGCAGAAAGTCAAATGGTGTGTGTGTGTGTGTGTGATCTGGAGGAGCCGAAACTGTAGCAGGGAGGCAGAGGGAGGCTGGGTCAATCCAGGCCCCCCGTAACGGGGTCCTCTACTGGCTTCTGGCCAACACCTGCAGTTGGGAGGCCAAGCTCACCCAAAGACCCAAATCGATGGGATGCAGTGAACAGGAATTTGGTCACGGATATTAGTGGAAAGGATGTGGGCTGGAGTAAGAAGACTGTCATCTGGGGCTGGGCCTGGCCCTGCCTTCCTGAGCCCAGGGCTGGGAGTCCCAGCTCCCATGGCCAGCACTGGGCCTGCATGTGCCCAGGAGAAAGTCCAGAGCCTGTGACTTCTGCTTTCTCTTGGACAAAGCACCTGGATGGGCCCCAACCGACAGCTTTCATCTCAAGTGCTGTTCAAATAACATCCAGGTCTGGGCCAGAATTTTGTAGACACAGCTGCTGACTAATGAAGAAAAAAAATCACCAACTGCCCACTCTGGCCAATCACTTGCAAGGGCTGCTGGACATGAGCCCCAGGAGCAGGGCGGGAAGGGTTCCCACACCGGGAGCCGTTCTTCCTCTGGGGAAACGCTCCTGGATTTCAAGAGCAGGGGACTTAAAAATGACCCATTCTCCACCAACATCATGGAGGCCTACTGCATGCTAGACACCTTAATTCCAGAAATGTGGCCACCTCCAGCCCACTGCCTCATGCTGGAGGCAAGACTGAGTGTCTAAGACGCGGAACTGATCGAAGCCCTTTGTGCCCATGACTCTGAGATACTGCACCTGGTGTGACTGTAATTACCTCGGGTGTAATCACAGGGGAGTGTTCAGATCCTTCCGCAGGGCTGGCCGCCCCTGGCCAGGCATTAGAAAACTGGCCTCCTGCTTAGGAGAGATCAAAGTCACCCCTTGCTGCAGTCCTAGGGTCTTGCAGTAAACGAAGCCACTCAGCATGATGTGGTTTCCTCAGAAGAAAGATCCACTGAGCTCTCCGACCGCCCCCCAAAACAGCCGTGGCTCTCATTTGTGGGTGCCAGGGAGCCTCCCCAAGGTGCTGGGCAGACAAGCTTGTGGTACCTCCTGATCACTGAGTTGCCTGTGCAGTAAGCTCCCTAAGGCCTAGCAAGGGTTCCACTTAATTCCAGGGTGTTGCTCTGCTGTTTATACACAAATGTTTACAGCCACAGCTGTTATTACCACCAATGATCACAATCGTAATCTCTCCCCACTTAATTGGTGCCAGCATGATCGAGACAGAGTGTAGAACTTATCATTAGACAGAGAGCCCTTCCCCTCTTAGGACTTGGGGAGCGCGCTGGGGTTTTATGGGCATCCTGCGTGGCACGATAATGCCTGCAAATGAAATCTCTCTAAATTCAAGCTCTTGCAGCAGTGATGTCATTTAGCTGTTCCGAGGTGAGTTTGGCTTGACAAATAGCAGTGTCAAGAAGACTGCACAGATTCAACTTTGGGGACCCCAGGCTTACCCAATTTGGAGAAAACTCATTTAAAAAAGAAAGTCTGAGGTTCCAAAAGAGGTGCGGGCGCCATCGGGCTGCAGAGGGGCTCTCAGCGTGCAGCCTGCCCCCTCTGCTGTCCAGGTTGTCCCCAGCTCGCAGCCGTGGCCCTGGGCTCCCAGTCTCGGGGCCTGGACTGGTGACTGCTCTGAGGGGGTCAGAGCCTGAGCCAGCGAAGGGGTCTCCGCAGGCCCTCGGCTGACTGGGAGGCTGAAGCCAAGTTTGCTCTGTGGGTGGTTTATCTAGGTACTGTTTCAGTCTTCTCCTTTACTGCTTCTTAAAAATGTCAGAGCTTGGGGAAGATGCCTGAACCTTCCACATAGCTGACTCCTCTCCTCTCCTGAGAGGCAGGAGGCTGCTCCACGCCAGCCTGGACAAGCGGCAGCCTTGCGGTGGCGGGGTTGGTGGGGGGGACCTGCTCCTTCGTATCCCCGAATTTTCCTGCTGTGCCTTGCTGTCCCCCCTCCCCCAGGTACCCTGTCCCTACCCTAAGCCCTTTGGCTCTCATTTCTTATCTTTCTGGTGTCCTGATAATTTTTAAAAGAAAACAGTAGTTCACTGCATATTAATATTTATACCCTGTTCTGCTAGCTACCTTGTTCTGTAGGTCTTCTGTGCTTTCAGCTTGTGTTGGGCCATTGTCAGACGATTTCATAATGAGCTATAGATACTCACTGCCAATATCTTGACTTTTGTGTTTGATTTCATACTTCAGGCCATCTCTTTCTCTTTCTAAACATGTTGCACAGTCTATTACAAAACAGTATTTGAGTGAAGGAGTGACGATTTGGGAATTTCAGGCCTCTTGCTGACGTAAGTAGGGAAAGACTTGAGCGAACCCAGCCTACAACTCCCCCTTGACAGAGCTGTCACCATCACCTGAAGCCTCATGGGACTCTTCCCTCGTGCAAGCAGTGTGACACGTTGCAAAACCCATTTGACTGCTCTCTAAATTCTTCATGAATACCTCAGAATTTTGCATGGAAAAGTTTCTGAGTTGAAGAAAAAAGTGCAATGGAATTTATTGCTTATTGATATTTTCAATCTTTTTTGAAAGAATGGTGCAGTATCAATCATTGTAGGAGGCAAGAGAAACACTGCCACTTGATAAATGATGTAGTGACCCTCATGCAAATTCCTGGCAGGCTGTCTGGGAAGACTTCTCCGTGTGCTTGGGCCGAGTGGTTCCCGTATAACCCCACTGCATTTAAGATCAAGTTTCAAAGAAGCCCTGTTTGGGGCAGTGAACTTAGCTTTAAAAATACTCTATGGAGACTGCGGTTTTAAAAGACATAATTGGGCTGGGGCTTTAGCTCAGTGGCATAAGCACCTGCCTTGTAAGCAGGCGGTCGTGAGTTCGATCCCCGGTACCAATTAAAAAAAAAAAAAAGACATAAGTTAACCTCAGTAACTATCTGTTTCAAATTAACACACAGCTTATATAATTTGAAAAAGAAAAGCTTTTTGGATATATATTTTATTTGACAGTGTTTTAGAATATCATACAGTAAACAAGATTTCTGTAAAAGTTAATTTATCCATAGTGGTGCGTTTCATAAAAATAGTTGCTCACTTACAGTCTTTCTGTGACTATTAATACATGGAATTATATTTATAGAGATACAGCTGTACAGGGTAAATTCTCAGCTACCACTACACAGAAATATTATTTGGGGTGGGCTGACATGTGTGCCGTTTTCACAGGTTATGGATTACAGCCGCATGAAGCAATTGCTGCATGAGGGTAGCTGTGAACTGTGGAAATTAGAGTTTATGCAAGCGTAATCTCAATTTTTTTTTGTTTTTCCTTTTGTAACACATGAGAAATAAAGGTCGGAGGATACAGTACCAGGACGTGCAGCTACACTACAGAAGCATTGTCCAGAACCAGCGTCAATAACTTAATGGCAAACTAGACTGGATTTCTAGCCCGGGGGAGAAAGACTGAGATGAACCAAGAGGATTACAGACTGCTACATGTGTTTGTGCTTTTGTTTATGATGGATGGATTTCATTTTGGGAAACTGCTTTTATGAGCTGCAAAACCTCTACACGAGGCTTCCAACCACACTCTCTCGTCAGACAGCTACTCCTTGGCCGGATGGAAATCACTCAGCTCAGGTTCCTGCACTTGGGAAGAGAGGGGAAAAGTCGGTGAGAGTGGCCGCTGTGTGTGACCTCCCCGGGGAACCTGCCTGACCAGGAGACCAGGAGGGGCCTCCTGTCTGCGCCCTGGCTCTGGCTAGCAGCAGGCCACGGGAAGGAGGAAGCCTTGTGTGTTCAGAGCATCATAAAGACGCTGCCTGAAGAAACATTTCACCTTCTAGTATGTGTAGCTTTGACAAGTACCGACAAGGACCGAGAGAGAATCAACGATGCTAACGTTCACAGAGACACCCTAAGGCAGCGGGGAGGAAGCAGCCCCGGAGATCCCCAGGGGATCAGGCAGAGACAGACGCAGACATCTGGGGGTTGCTCATGAGGTAAAGAACTTAGCAGAGTTCAGGACCCCAAAGCAAATGGAAAACAAAGGTGGAGGGTTCAGGAAGAAAGAGGAGCAGAGAGGAAGGCCAACAGGACTCCTGTCCTTTAATGAAAATAAATTAGTGACCTTTTACTATTAGAGGTTCATCCTAAGCTGCGATGTGGGACAGAGTGTCCTCGCCTCTCTTCTTGTCAAAGTGCAAAGGGGGCAGGGGAGTGGGCGTGGGGGAGCCGGGAAGACCATGAGAACTCGCGGGGCAAAGCCTGTGCACACAGGGGCCGCAGCGTGGCAAACGATGCCACCGATTGTGGTCTTTCAATTACAAAACGGGCATTTCAGAGGAAAATCAATACGAGCTATGGGCTAAACTGCAAAATTCAGACTCATGGCAAACTGTTTCCTAGGATACAATTTTTAAAACCTTTTTTTTCCTACCACTGAAAATGCACAGAGTATGATTGGATCACAGGAACGGCAGTAGAAATGGCATCATACCGAAGGACTCACTAGTGCTACCTCGTCCTGGGGAGGCGGGTGCGCGTGGAGAGGTCGTGGGTGAACAGTTTCCAGTGTTTCGGAGAAACCCTTTCACCCCTGTCTAGATACGTCAAGGACAATTTATATACAACGCTTCAGATCGATTAAAAGATAGATTCTTGTCTCAGGGTCTGCTTGCTCCGTGCAGTGTGAATTTTTTAAGGCGATATTCCAGTTTGTGATTGCTTTCTCTCGGCTGCTTTCTCGGTGCAGCGTCCGAGGGCCACCGAAGCCTTCGTGCTGCGGGGAATCCATTCTTTCTTGCTCGCTAAAGCTGCACTGCACTGTCTCTGTGATGTTCTGTGAGATCTTTTGGTTTTTCCACAGCTGTCCAGGTCCCCGGCAGCCGGGCCTCAGGCCTCGGACCTCGTGGACCCGTGCGTGCGTGTGACAGTGACAATAAATTAAAACGCCAGAGCAGAGCCTGGGGAGGGCCGGGGACCCTCACCGGCTGGCGGCCGAGGCGCCCGGCTGGAGCACGCCCTGCAGGCGGTCGGAGCCCGGCACCTTCCAGGGCCCCGGTGCCAGGGCCGCCCTGCGCGCCCCGGGTCCCGACCCCGGCGCGCCCCCCTGGGGCCGTGGGCCAGGTGCCGGGCGGGGCCCCTCCTTCCCGCCGCCGGGCGCCTCCTCCTGCCTCGGCCTCCTCGAGCGCTCGCTCTGCTCCCCGAGGCGCTGCTTCTTCTGGCCGCCGGCCGGGAGCTCCTTTGGTTTCCTAACGTCGTGTTCCCTTTTGAAGTCCCAAGCCGGGTCCGGGCTCTTGGAGTGGGCAGAGTCGGAGGGCGGGGCGAGGTGCGGTGGCGAGGATGGAGAGAGGAGGTCCTCGAGCGAGACGCCTACTTCCGGCAGGCCTGGGCCGGCGGCGGCAGGAGCGCTCCGGGCGCCGGGTTCGTCTGCGGACACGGAGCACAGCGTTAGGGGCGCGCGAGCCCGGGCTGCATCCCGCGTCCTCCCCTGCACCCCGCATCCTCCCCTGCACCCCGCGTCCTCCCCTGCACCCCCGTGGTTGCCCCTGCACCCTGCAGCCTCCCTGGTACCCGAGGCCTCCCTTGCACCCCCCGTGGTTGCCCCTGCACCCTGCAGCCTCCCTGGTACCCGAGGCCTCCCCTGCACCCCCCCGTGGTTGCCCCTGCACCCTGCAGTCTCCCTGGTACCCGAGGCCTCCCCTACACCCCCCGTGGCTGCCCCTGCACCCCGCGGCCTCCCTAGGACCGGGGGCCTCCCCTGCATCCCTGTGATTGCCCCCTGCTGCCCGGGGCGCCCCTCCCCCGCACCAGCACTCCGGGCTGGGACCCCCAGCCTTCTTGGACCCCTCGGAGGTACCCGCAGAGCCTGAGCGGCCTCAGCGGTTACAGCGTTCTGTGCGCGCTGACTCCAGGGCGCCTGGACACAGAGTTCTCAAACTCAGATCGGAAGCACCCAGGGGTGTCCCGGGGTCCCACAGCAGAGCCCCGGGCCACCGCCGGGCGCCACCAGGTGGCGGAATGTGAGGCTTGGGAACCAAGGCTTGTCTGCCTCCTCCCGCGAGGAGAGTGACTTTCCAGCCGCTGGGTGTCGCTCAAAGCTCGAGTCTCAGCGCCTGCACCTGACCTCAGAACACAGATCAATGCATCTAAAAACTACCCTTGTTATCTTGCCTTAAAACAAAATCATGGTCCTTAATTTTTTTGTGTGTTTCTAACATGGGAGGCCCCAGACTAAGATAAATGATTCTTTCTAGGAAGCCTATTTTCAACATTTGTTTAGGATTTCAAACTCTGCTTTCACAAACGGTGAAGACAATTTACAACATCCAAACACACATAAAGCAGAATGATAAAAAAGAAAAAAAATTTAAAAAGCAACTGCTGGCTGGCAGCCCAGGAGGGGGGCAGATGCGTCAGGAATCAGATGAGTTAGTTCCCACCAGGAGTGACAGCGATACACCAAAGGAAAGGAAATTCAACAGGGCCCCCTCGCCATTTGTGAGGTGTATGTCTGGTGAGCTTTGGAGACCCTCACATTTTGTCCTGCTATTCTAGGGTTACATGAGGGGGCACCAAAGAAGACTCATGGGTCCCGGGGCCTGGGGTGGGGGCCTCCCTCTTTAGCAGGATTCAGCACTGGGCTGGGGGATGCAACTCTGAATTCCAGCCTCTGTAACCTGGTCAGACACCTTGGGGAATCCCCTGAGGTCCCCAGCCCTGAATGTCAAGGGTCTGCTCTGTTTTAAAGTTAAATGTAACTGTCCAACTGTTATTATTTTTTGTTTTATTTGCACCAGAAATCAAACTCAGGACCTTGTGCTTGCCAGGCTGGCGCTTACGCCACTGAGCTATATCCCTGGTGGGTCTGCTTTGTTTGGAAGCTGGGGATTCTCTGTGATAACTTCGATAATCTGTAAAGGGGTGGGCAGAGGAAGAGGGCTGGGGTGCTGACTTTCCCAGTCATTATGGGCATCTTTAGAACATCAACCCAGGTATGAAGAAGCCTCTCCTTCGATGTGAATTTGAGCGGGGTATTCGGGGCACCAGGCATCTTCATTCTGTAGACTGATGTCAGTATTGTTTTCACATAGTGAGTAGAAAATTCTAGACAAGCACCGGAAGACGGAAGCTCTCAGTGGCCGCTACCCCTGATTGATGGGCCTTGCCACTCTGGACTAAGCCCACCAAGGGCCTACTACGCCTCACTTTTTCCTTTCCAAGCCAGGGATGCAATGTCTGATTGCATGATGTAGACTTTTGAGGGGCAGAGCTTTTTGCAACTGGAAGCCCAGGGGTGACCGTCAGTACCCCTCTTCTGTGCCCCAGAGGCTGCCTCCTCACAGGCTGGGCTCCCATGGCAGCTGCTGCTGAGGTTCTGAGTTATGCCATGGGTCCACACCCCCACGTATCATGGTTCCTGGGGGTGCTCTTGGGAGATCTCAGGTCTCCTCAGTTAGCATGGCTGCAGTGGAGTTCAAACACAAACCCCCAGATGAGGGACAGCGTGGCACCTCCACCCGCCCGGGAAGGTCTTGCCTTAAAGAGTTAGAAGTGGCCCAGAAAGGCCCGGCTGGCCTCTGCCAAGGACCCTGGTAATTATGTTCCTCATTTTCATAGCTCTTTTCCTCACCATTACATCCCATGCGGTGCAGTCAATTAGCTGGACTTAAATTACTTTGGAGACTGTGGAGAGACTCACAGTATCCACACCATTTTCCAGGGAGGAACTGAAGTGGAGAGAGGTTAAGTAACATGGCCAAGATGACACCGTGGCCTGGTCAGGAGGAAAGCTTGGGGGTTTCTTTTCTGTTTTTACTTCTGAAAAAATTGTCTCAAGCTGTCGCCTTGCAGATCAGTAGGATCAACGCATGTGAATGGTCGTGCTCAGGGACACTGCTGGCCACGGGAGCTGGACGCGGCACTGGACAGAACACTTAGCAGGGTGCCCGTGATTTGCTGGCCTGCAGGGACCTTGCCCTCCTCTTTTCTTCTGCTCTTCCCTCCCTCGAGCGATTCTCTTACCCCAAACCAAAAGGTGAATTTGTTCCCAGTACAAAGGGCTGCATCAGAGTACAAAAAGATTGCTCAAGAGCTTGTTTTCAGATCGTGAAATGATCAGCCGTGGGAGAATCCAAGGGCCACTTGTTCTAAGGCACCGCTCTTTCAGAATAGATCATATTTTTTCTGTCTTTTTGAGACAGGCCTCACTATGCAGTTCAGGCTGGCCTTGAGCTCACTTTGTAGCCCAGGCTGGTCTTGAACTCACAACAATCCTCCTGCCTCAGCCTCCTGAGTACTGGGTTTACAAGCATGCGCCACCACACCCAGCTCAAGAATATTAATCAGAAACTAAAATTGCTACACCTGGAGCTGAGTGCCTGAGGAGATGGACCTTGGTGCGTGGTGGAATCCCTTTCAGTTTTGTGCAGAGGAGCTGTCTAGCTCGGTGCCCGACCTTGGCAGGTGCTCCCCAACCGGCCTGCCCACCCCGAGCTGAGCTCAGCTGTGGACAGGAAGAGCCCTCTCTAGCTCTTCAGATTCTAGTTCTCAGGAAATCTCGACACATGGAAGACGGAAGACGGCCAGGCGCAGTTCCCATCCCTCCAGCCCTGTATGTGTCATCTTTCCCCGTCTTTCCTCCCTGCTCCCTTTCCATCTCCTGCTCTCTGAATCCGGGCACTGGTTCAGGTGTGATGGGGCAGCTGAGGAAGAGGGGCTCCCGGGTGTCTCTCCGGCCGAGACACTCACCTAAAATCAGAAGCAGCAGAGTCCCTCCGACCAAGCGGCACTCGGCCACTCCTGGGGTCTGCTGGGGACTTTTCAGTCCCTTTGTCCAGTGTCACCAGGCCCTGGGGCCCGAAGCAAAAGGAAAAGGCCTCTCCTTCCATGCTGGCTTCCTCATGGCCCCGCCAGGCTCCATGCCCCGACCGCTGCCCTCAAATCCAGAGGCTGAGCCTCTGTGCTCTTCCCGATGCTTTGTCCTCCACCTCTACACAAGCCAGGGCTTCGGGAAACAGCTGGCCCGTGGCTCTGGCCACAGCCCGCTCTCCCACTCTGTGCCCTGGCTCTCTGGTTCGGCCTCAGGGGATTTTCTTTCTCCACTGTCTCCTGAGCATTGCCCTCTGTCCCCAAGGCTCTCCTGCATGAGAGTGCACGCCAGCTCTGTGAGGTGTGTCACTGCCTAACTGCAATCTCATGACAAGCCCCAAACAGAAACCGTCCTCCCTGAGGATGACCTGGGTCATGCCCATTTCTTTGCTCCCCCTCACATCACAAGCCTGCTCAACTGCAATCTTGCGTCTTATTTCCAAATACATGTGGATGCCACGGACTTATCTTCATCTCTGTTTCCTTTTTTTCCCCTGTGCTGAGCCTTTGGACTGAGCTACAGTCCTAGACCTTTTAATTTTAATTTTGAGACAGAGTCTCACAAAGTGACTCATGTGCCCAGGGCTTGATCCTCCTGCCTTGGGCCCTAGACTGCTGGGATCTAAGGTCTGCACCCCCACGCCTGGCTAGCACCCCCTTCACTTTCCCTACAGTGGTGCAAAAGTACAGGGCTGCCCTCCAGAGGAGGGGACCCATGTGGGGCGCTCAGCTGATTACAGACAGGCCACCAGGTGGACAGCTCTCTAAACTCTCACGGAGATGGCAAAAGACAAACATTTCAAAGAGGAACCTCAGGGCTGTTCAGAAAAGGGAAGCAGAGTGGGGTGTACAGCACACGCCGACAGCTAAACTGACCACCCACCCGGGGGACTGGCCAGCAGACCTCCTCGCTCTCTGCAGTGGCCGCGCCCCATCTCCCTGCAGCTCCACAGTGATCTTTTTGAGATAACATTAAATCTCGCCATTGCCTACTTCTGACTTCAGTGGGTTCCCGCTGCTCTCGGATTAAAACCCAAAATTATTAATATAGCCTACAAAAGCCGCGGCCTGCTGCCTGCGGTTCAGGTGCTTGGGTTTCCAGCTCCCTGCGTGTCCCCCTGCTGCGGGGCTCCCCCAGGGACTCAGCCTCCTTTGGGACTCTCGATGTCACCCAGAGGATGCCAAGCTTTCCTCAACAGCATCATCCTGGTTTTGTTTTCTCAGTCCCAGAAACTCGTCAGGATACATTTGCTTATCTAATGAATCTCATGTGTGGGGCAAGCTGGATGCTCTTTGAGGACGATGACCACATGGACCTTGTCTGTCACAGTGTACCTAATGCCCAGCACCCGGCCTGACCCTCGAAGAGGTGCTCGATGAATATTACATGAGCGAATAAATCTGCTTTGCAAACAGACCGGGAGGCCCTGCCAGCAGATGCCTGCTGGAGGAAACATTCAGGGCAAAAGAGTTTCCTCTAAGTAGGATCTGTCAGAAGCTGGCTGGGGAACGTGACTCTCCTCAGTGTGGAGAGGAGGGTGGCTGTCAAATGGCGATGGTGTTTAACGGAGTGGGAAGAGATCAGCAGGGACCGGGAGGCGGCAGGAGGGGGGACCCCTGGGAGGGGGCTCCAGGTCCGAGGCCGGGCAGGGACCCGAGTGCACTCATGTTCTTTCCTTTGCCTGCAGCGTCAGCGGGGAGGATGTAACGGCTCTGCTCAAAGGAGCATTGTTCCCGAGGAGTCACTCACTACCGTGTCGGGGGACCTTGTGGGGACCCAGAGGTGAGACGGACGCCAGGTGTCTTGCGCTCCACTTCGAGAGGTGGGATTCTCTTCCCTGCTAGGGTTGGACTTCTTCCTTTCCTACTGCCATTTCTACCAAGTGTGTTTCTTCCCTAGATCATGGACTGATTAATGCCTGAGTACATAGTTTGTGCATATACACACAGATTACACACACACACACACACACACACACACACACACACTCATTATTTTAGGAGATGATATATGATTTCTTAAATTACCTCAAAGGAACCCAGCAGTGATGAAAAACAAAATATATTCCTTTCATTTCATATACTGAGATTAAGAAACTCATATATAAGAACTGCATTTTGACAGCTCGATTATTTTATGAAATATATTCCAAGTGATGGGGTCCAGAGAGCCGACCTGCTAGGATACACTGCTCAGTGCAGTAAATAAGGACCTGTATTAACGGTTTTTCAGATGGCTCTTATCACCCCGAAAACATCTGCAGAGGAAATCATAAGCTATATCCAGGAAGAGTTGACTTTATTCAGTGCTGGGGATGCAGGAGGAAGGCTTTTGTAGTGCCTGGAAATGGTGGCAGAGAAAGAGGGGCTGTCATCTCCCTTCTGCCTCACCAGCATCCCCAGGGCTTCTGAGTTTAGGATTCCCACTTTCCTGTCTGCTTAGCACAGGGCTGTCCTAATGAGTGCCTTCTAGACTACGAGGTTCGGGAGAATAAAACTGGATTTATTGCCATTGGTACTGTTAGTAATGGTAACAGCAACTCTGCTAGACATGCTTCCAAATCCTTGCTTTGTATTAACTCTCATTTACACATGCAAACCAAGCCATTTTACAGATCAGGAAACTGAGGCACAGAAGCTAATTTAAGCAATGAGCACAAGGCCACACAGTGGCAGGAATGCAGCACGGTCCTTGAGTGGCTTTCTGTCTTGGGCAGTCCTGCACAAGCGCAGGAAAAACGGTGTCACTAGATGCTTTTGCTACAAGAAACAAGCCCTCGTTTCTTCAGGGGTGACACCACAGGAACTTCCATCCCAAGTGTCATTAGAGTCTACTTTGTCATTCCTGAGGGTGACTTGGTAATGCCACGTGTGTTTGAACCTTAGACACAGGAGGACTCTATGGTTAGAGCACTGACTCTCAAAATTGCTGGAAATACGAGCTGGAATCAAAGAACCCACAGAGATAATTTACACTATACTTCAAAGACAGTCCTCCCCGGGCTACTCTCTGAGCCAAGATTAAAATGAAGATTCTCATACTGGCTATCGCAAACACCATGTCAGCTTGGGACATACATTTTTACTGCTGACAAAAATTGTTCTGTAAAGAGACCCATGCATTTGGTGTTCTGCCCTGCTCTCAGCCTTTCCTGGGGAGACCTGTACTTGGCTGGGGTTGCAGAATATTGATGGGGTTATATTCGAATCTCATTTGGAGCATTGTAGGAGAATACCGAATGATGAGGGGAGATCAGAGGACACTATCGTGAAGTCATTCAGTGTTCAAAAGAAAACCTTCTGAGGATTGTGTTCAAACCATGATGGCTCATTTGGGTCTGGTGCTCTGTCACCAAGGTGATTGCTTTTTCCAACAACAACAAAAGAGAAAAATACACACTGAAACATTTCAGAACAGATGAGCTTTTTGACTGCATTTCCGCCCCTTCTGAGCATTCTTTCCAGTCTGGAACTGTTGCTAATGGCTTCCTTCCAAATCTGGGCTTCATTCACCTGTATTACCAGGGCGGTGTAAACTCGGCGGTATACAATTGAAACCTTTTAGGATGGTGGCTGCGTTTGCTTTTTGCAGTTCCACATTTATGCTGGCTGTGAAAATCCTCTCTGAGGTCCTGCCACACATTGGGGACCTGAGCTCCTCGGGGCTGGTGGCCAGGTCTATGCGGGCATCAGTGCTGCAGGGGACGTGCACCAGGTGTCATCCATGAGAGAGACATCGGGTGCTGTGGCACCACCCATCACAGATTACAAAGCTGAGATAAATCAAGCAGTTTCCCAGGACTGCTCTGGTCCTCGGTCCTTGGTATCTGGACAGTACATCGCAGTGCCCAAGGCAGAACCGAGACTGTGTCTGGGCTCACCACTCTTGTCACACTGAGACACACCTGGCGAGGGTCACACAGGCACTGTGAGTGCCACGGAATCCACGTGGAACCTGTCAGGTCTGACATGGAGGCCCTTGGGACTGTACCTGGGTCAGCTCGGATTGGCACAGTGCATCCCCCTCGGTACCCTGAGCAAGCTGTTTTTCAAGGGTGCTGCAGGATTCTGACCTCAGCTATTTGTGATGGGCTTGAGGCAGTGGCTTTCTGGTTTTTTTTTTGTTGTTGTTGTTGTTGTTTTTATTTTTTTGAGACAGGGTGTTGCTATGCAGTTCAGGCCATGCTTGAGCTCACTTTGTAGCTCTGCTTGGTCCTCAACTTGCAACCACCCTCCTGCCTCAGCCTCCCAAGTGCTGGGATTACAGGAGCGCACTACTATGCTTTGAAAATCAACCCAGTGTCCTTTGCAGAGAGACTCTCTGCTGAAAAGTCGGTGTGTCACACAGTGTTTTCAGCAAGCTGCCATGTGTGGGCAGGACGCACTGGGGATGGCCGGGCTCGGGCTGCTCCGGGGAAACTGGGCTGGGCCAGGAGCGAGACAAGCGGGGCGCTGGCTCCGCAGACAGTGGGCTCCACTGTGGTGGTGGAGAGGAGAAACTCAGGGAGGGGTTGCGGAGGGGTTCGACTCCAGCCGAGGCCGTGTCCTACTGCAAAGGAAGCCACTGAGTGCTTTCCAGAGGAGAAGGAGGGACCTCGGAGTCCCCGGGGTGCAGTGGAGCAGGGGGGACTCTCGGAGTGGGAGGTGACCCTGGGAGCAGAGAGGATGGGGTGCGCAGCAAACTGGGGCTCCCTTTGGGAGAGAAGCCGTCTGGAGCCTGGCTGCAGTGGGGGGCACGCTGGATTTGAAGGTGAAGGCTCCTGGAGGACGTGCAGGAGCTCCTGCAAGGTTCTCTTTGTCCCTCGAGGAGCTCAGTGTCCTGCTTGGGATGGGAGGGCATCGTGCTGGGGGTGGGCAGGGTGAGGGCGGGGTTCAAGCGGAGCTGCAGCTGCATTGGGAGCCAATGTGTGTCCACTAGCTGCAGGCAAGGGGAGAATGTTCCAGAAAGCAGACTCAGGGGCTGGCATGGAAATGGTGCAGGTGTGGGGTGGGGAAGAGAGAGGAGGCTTGCAGGGCTGGATGTGGGGCAGGCGGCACCTTCAACAGGCTAGGTAAAAGTCATGGGTAAGGTAGAGGTCACAGCTCAGGCACTGGCCCTGAACAGTGGGGAGGGGAGTTTGGCTTCTCAGATGGCAGGAAGGGTGAAGCAGAAGCCGGGTGAGGGTAATTCTTCCTCCCTTTCTAAACAGGGCCCAGTTCACTGATGCTGACGAGCAAGGTATCCCGAAATTAGAACTTATTAAGTGCTGTGCTTGGTGCTTTTATCAACACAGGGAGTTTCCTTCTGCTTTATGGCACTGGTGGGCAGAAGCCCGCTCCCTTCTGTCTAGGGTGCGAAGTGCCACCCACCTGCAGCTTATTAATGCTGCAGCCCTGCCGTGTCCCAGGCTGGGACTTTGGGGGAAGAAAGTGATGACCTTGCACTTGTGGGGCTCAAGGTAGGAGGCAGACACAGAGCAGGGGCCACTGGACAGGACGTGCCACAAAGGGGAAGGTGGAAAAAGAAAGGAAAAACAAAAGGAAATAAGAAGTGAGCTGCCGAAGCATTTCACGAGGAGCTGACTTCCTCTGTGGTTTGTAAGTGAGGATGAGGAGGGCTATAATTTGGTCGTTAGCAGCAAAGTTGCCAGCTGTTTCTTGGATAAGTGGCCTCTGTCCAGCGGGTCCTGCACCTGTGCTTTGTATGTGTGCATCTCTTGAAGTGAAACCAAAGCCCTGGCTTTCCCACCACGCAGCCCAGCCGGGCAGTAGTTCCCAGAGTGGCCGCACAGTTCTGACTCCCGTGCGTTTACTCATCCTTCTGGGGGGGCGGGGCTTTGGGTAGCCACGGTGAAGGACTCCGTGAGGACAGGAGTCACAGGAGAAGATGAGGTGGTCACACACGTGTAGGGTGTGCAAGGACCGAGGGTCATCAGAGGTGCGTCAGAGGCCTGGTCATGACAGGCGTGACTGGACCTGGGCATGGTGGATGGGCCAGGGTGCCGGTGGGAGCCAGGTGCAGGCAGGGTGACCCTCGCAGGCTGCTCTACCGTGTAGGTGAGAGGCAGGAAGCACAGGACAGGATGAGATGTGTCAAGGGGGGTGGCAGCAGAGTGCGAGGTGATGTGGGGGCTCAGGGTGAGCGGATGAGGGGTCCCCAGTGACTCTCCAGATCCAGCTCTCTAGCATCACCTTGGATGGGGGCGTCATCGCTGGGGTTGGGAGTGCAAGTTTAGACCCTCCTGAATCCAAAAGTGAGCCTGTGTCTTTAGTTTAACGCAGAGTAACTCCTGCTGTTACATGCACGGTTCACACCCTAATCCTCACGGGAAATGTACGTATTCCCATCTGGCAAACTTCAGTTAATCACTTAAATGAGCATCTATTCAGTGCATAAAAATACCCAATTCCTGTCATCAAGGGAACGATAAACTTTCCTTCATCCATGGCAAACCTCTTCCTGTTGGTGAAAAACTGGAACACCCCCCTTAATCAGTTTACTCTGCACTCTAGGTCAGGAGGGGACAGTCTGGATGAACAAGCCCTGGCCTTTGTCATAGGGGAGTGACACCTCCTTTGGAGAGGTCCAGGCTGGAATCACTGCTTCCTTCTGAGCAGGGCTTTTGGAGGAGAAAACCCATCTTTGCTGCCTGGCTTCTGTTGGATGTGCCTGGCATTTTGGTGCTGAGCAGGCAGTAAATCATCCTAAATGGAAATAGTCGCCCGTGGCATGATCTGATTGAGTCGTTTAAACAATCGCTTTGTGTTGACAAAGGGTGATTATGCCAGAGGAACTCAGAGGTGTGGGGAAACAAATCACCTGCAGAAGTGCCTGAAAACAGGG